TTGTGGAAGGTTTTGCACAGAGGTAGTGCTTTGGTTGTTTGACACTTTCCCATCGCTTGTGTAGTCTCTTGTCCAGAGACAGAGCTTTGGTTGTTTGACACCCTTCACATTGCTGGTACATCTGAGTGCCTGCTTAGCTCTTTGCGGTAAAGTAGCTTTCTCTTGACCTTCCTGAGAAGCGGTGACTATGCTAAGCACTCCAGCATGTTAGTAGGCTCCGTTTCCCAAAACGTTTACTTAGTAGCCAAGTCCACTGCAGGAAAAAAACACATTTACAAATGCTAATGGGGTACCTAATGCTTGTGCTTGGGCCACTGCCAGGCACATGAGACTAGCCTGGAGGTTGCTGACTCAATAGTGTTTCTGGTTCACTAGCACCAGTGTGGTCAGAACATGGTCAGGCTATTAGCGGCACATTCAGAAACAATCATTCAAGAATGAGGAAGAGGTTGAGCAAGCCCCCTTCCTGTCCACAGTGGGAAAGGAGGTAACTGAGTGCTTGGCACTTTGCAGACTGGGGAGGATTTGGTGCTGGGCTGTACGTTCCAGACCAGCTATTTTTAATACTACATTCTTAGGCAGGAATGTAGTTGAAGCAAGTAGAACATTTCATTCTCATGCACATCTCACTTCCCTCTGCCCTGTGGCATGTGCACAACTCTTAGAAGCCTGTAGGTCCACAGGTTCCAGATCTGAGAAGTGACTTTGGGAGGTCATCTAACCCCATCACAGATGAGGTTATTTTGTCATTCACAGATGAGGGACCTGAGAAACAGAGAGGTGATACGACCTGTAAACCAGAAGCAGACTCAGAGCCAGGACCTAGGTACCCCCAATCTTCATGCGTTTTGTATATTTGCTGCATAATGTTCTCAAGTTCCCTGAAGCTTTTCCTATGGAAGAGTCTAGGCTACAGGAAGTGGTACTGTACGTTGGTTTTGAGCATAGGTGTAACATGAGCTTGAGTTGAATTTCTGTTTGACCTCATTAGAGACGAGGTCTTGTTTCTTCAACTCTAGAACAATCATTCTTAGACATCTAAAGACTGTCTTGAGGATGAGCATGTGAAACACTTAGTACGATCCTTTGCTCATCGTCAGGGCTCATAAGCACCAGGAGGCAAGCCCTGACGATGAGCAAAAAATCACACTCGTTTCCATGCTCACAGCTATTACAGAAGACCAAAAGCCCCATATCTACATATGGAGGGTGAAATATTTCATTTTCATTGACTTACAGTGACATAGACTTTCTTGTGTTCTCATTTCAAGGAGGACATTGGCAAATGGGAAATGACCCTGAAGTGAACAAAGAGGCTGGTGTGGGATTGAGCAAACGTTGTCTGAGGAGCAGCTGTGAGTTCTGGGGCTCTTCAGAACAAAGAAGGGAATGTTCAGGAGAGCATGACTGGTGTCTTCAGAGACATAAAGGGTTAGCACCAAGAAGACAGATGAAACTGCATTTCTATGGTTTTGTAAATGGTGTTTCATACTTTTAGGTGACAGTTATTCTTTGTCTGGTTCGAACTGAGGAGCTCAATGCTGAGAACACAAAGAGTAAACAAACCCAGCCTGGGGTTAACAACTCATAGTCTCAACAAATAATAGGTTAACAAACATGGAGGATCCAACAGGCTCATGGTGACAAGGCGACAATGTTCTTTTTCTAGTGAGAGAAGGTTGATTCAGTAAGACCCGATGTGTCAAGGAGAGTGCTGATGAGCTCAGGCTTCTGTGGGCCTGAGAGTTGGGGGAAGGAGAGAACAGCTGGCATTTTGTTTTCTCACCAAAGAGAAGAGAATAGCAGTGCTCTAACCCAAGCTTGTCTGTGCAGTGACCTTCTTTTCTCGAGTGTACCCTGATGAGAAGCACTCAGGGACCTTGACTGCACCAAGGTGCAGAAGAATTTTGCAAGAGATTCACATAAAATATAACTCTCTGTTATCCTCTGTTCTCCTCCTCTTTCTCTTCTTTCTTCTCCTTTTTTCTCTCCCTTTCCCCCTACTTCTCTTCTGTTTCTTTCCTTAAAATGTCAACCATCATTATGTTGAACTTAATTTTTCTCACTTTCCCCAGTGATTTCCCTCAGGGTTTACAAAAAGTGGTGGCCCTAAATATTCCTAGATCCAAAGCAGATTTTCTCTGGCTCTAACTTGTTAAGTGGAAATCATGGTTTGAAGTAAATCACCCCAATTTTGACGCCTACATGGGGTAGGCTCAGTGCAAGGGCAACAGAAGCACTGTTTTTTCTTGTGTGTGGGCTGTCATTAAAATTCTCTCAATTCCTTCATCAGAGACAGATTTGTTTCTGATCCCCAAGGACATTTGGGCTTTAACTACAACTTGTGCTTAATGCATGAGTTGAAACTCTTAATCAAGTTCTGGAAGAAAAATCAAAGCCTTTTACAGAAGAAGTCACGTGTATTGAAAAACAACTGAAGCATCTGTTTGTTAAAAAAAACTAAATATCTTGTTTGGTTTTTGAACATTAAGGAAGTTGGTATTTGACATGAGAAGGGAAGAATTAGAGAGACAAGAAAGAAGAGGTGGAATAAATGGAAGAGAAGGAGGCAATTTTTGTACTGTGGTAACTGAGAGAGAATTCTGCAAATGTAAGGGACATCTGCCAGGTTTACTGGGTAATGCTATTTTGACATTTCTCATGTGCCCATGGTTTCTTCATTTGTAAAGTGAGTACTTTGTGTTAGATGATCCCTGAAGGCTTTAGTAATTGTTAATCAATGCACTTAGATGAGGAGTCAAAATGCTAATTACTTACAAATGTATGATTTTGTGACTGAAAAACTGTTGAGAAGTAACTACGAAAAAATCAAAACCAGTAAGAGCTCAACCTGTGGGCTAGTGATACATTCAATATACAAAATCAATAGCTTTCTCTATGCAAACAGTATCCAATTATAAAATATAATGAAAGAAGAATGTGGCTCAAATAAAAATAATGATTTAAATTAGTTATTTTTATAATTAAGTTACAAAATGTTTTAGATCTATATGAAGAAACTTCTTGAAGAATACCAAAAAGATACATTAAAATGAGACAAAAATATTTGAAGTAAAACTCTGTTCTTAGGAAGGCGCAATAGTCCACATATCTTTTTTTTTTCTTAAAACCTGTCGTTTCAATTTCATGTCAGTTAAAGAAGCAATGAAATTATTTTAACTTGATAAAGTAATTCAAAAGTTATTTTGTAAGAGTGAATCGTAGAGAGTAGCCATGAATTCTGACAAAGACTGGTAGGAACTACATTCATTAAAAGCACATGGTACTGGCACAGGGAGAGACAGGAAACAGAAAAGTAGAGGGAATGGAATCCACTGGATGAGCTAGGAATGCCTGGGCATTTGATACGTGGCAAGGTTGGCGTTTGCCCTGCAATGAGTGTGCAGAATGTGCTGTGTGTTCTCTGTAGGATGTTCAGCTGTCCTCCAGAATCAAGATGGGCCTAGCGTTTTAAATTCCTTAGAATCCTGCATAATTTTGTTTCTTTACTGTACAGACTCAGATTTCTAAGAGAACGGTGACATGAACCCAGACATGTGCCTTTTGTGTGAGATAGCATATGGCGAGTGACGACATTTCTGCAGGCTCAGAAAATTTATACTTCTGGATGCAGTAAGAAACAGTTTCTACGTCATTGCTGGGAAGACAAGTCTGGCATGACTTTTCAGAACAGCCTTTATCCTAAGGCTGAAAAACTAACAGGAACAGAGAAATAATTAGGTAAACACACAAAACAAATGTCTTTTAGGGAAATCAAACATGAACTACATAAAAAGTGATCACTGTGCATATTTTGGCTGCTAGATGAGCAAACACAAAGTAAAAAGTAAGCCAGAAACAATTCTTGGCAATACCTACGATAAAGGACATTAAATATGCACAGAGTTTTAAAAATCAGTAAGTACAGATGAGTGACCCAGCAGAAAAATAGCTAACAAGATATAAAAAATAACCAATGAACATTCAAAAAAAGCTTATTGGCCGGGCGCGGTGGCTCAAGCCTGTGATCCCAGCACTTTGGGAGGCCGAGACGGGCGGATCACGAGGTCAGGAGATCGAGACCATCCTGGCTAACACGGTGAAACCCCGTCTCTACTAAAAAATACAAAAAACTAGCCGGGCGAGGTGGCGGGTGCCTGTAGTCCCAGCTACTCGGGAGGCTGAGGCAGGAGAATGGCGTAAACCCGGGAGGCGGAGCTTGCAGTGAGCTGAGATCCGGCCACTGCACTCCAGCCTGGACCACAAAGCGAGACTCCGTCTCAAAAAAAAAAAAAAAAAAAAGCTTATTATCAGAAATAATTTTTACAAGGTATGGTGAGACAAGCGGGAATATTATATTCACTAATATGATTGACAAAGATTAAAACAATGAATAATAATTAGTATTGGTAAGAATATTGATAGTTAAAAGATACTTCCATACATTTCAGGAAGAGGAAAAAAGTGGGTGAACAGTTTCTAAAGTGGGCAATTGGCCAGGTGAGGTGGCTCATGCCTTTAATCCCAGCATTTTGGGAGGCTGAGGTGGGTGGATCACGAGGTCAGGAGTTTGAGATAAGCCTGGTCAATATAGTGAAACTCCATTTCTACTAAAAATACAAAAAATAGCTGGTGTGGTGGCATGTGCCTGTAGTCCCAGCTTCTCGGGAGGCTGAGGCAGGAGAATCGCTTGAACCTGGGAGGCAGAGATGCAGTGAGCTGAGATCACACCACTGCACTCCAGCCTTGGGCAAAAGAGTGAGACTCCATCTCAAAAATAAATAAATGAATGAATAAAATAAAACTTGAAATATGCATAGCTTTTGACATTCCATTTCTAGGAATTTTTACAAAGTAGTAGGCATATACATTTTTAAAGACATATGTACAGTCATATAAATATATGAGGCAAATATAGATGAACAAATATTAAATAACCTTTGAGCTAATATTTAAATATGAAAAACATGCAATGGAGCTGGCTATGAAGATGATCCTGTATTTGAAATTTAAGACAGAGATTTACACGATTTATTTGCAAAGGGAATGAATTAAAATGCTTTGAATGACAAATGGTGGTTATAGTTGAAGGGAGACGCTATGGGGATTTTCTACCTTCATTTTTTTTTTTTTTTTTTTACATTTCTCTATTATTTGGAATTTTGTAACATGTAAGTATTATTTTTTAAAATTGGAAGAATAATAGATTTAGGTGCAAGCAAATTACAACATTCAAATTCTAGGACTGACTTATTTTTCCACTAACTTTTAACCAACTCTTTCTTCCTTTAATGAAGATTCTCTAGGGAGGTTGTAATGAACCAACTGCCATATTGGATCATCCTTTTAAGAAGTCTGAAACATCTAGCCAACTTGCCTCAAAATCTTTTCCAATTACTTTCCTCACCTGTGAAGGACCCTCCTTATTCTATTGTTTTGACAGCTTGACTCTCAGCCCCACCACTTGCCTACGGGCCTCTACGTCACCTTGATACCATTCTCCTACGACATGGTTAGAGGACAGCGTCATACCCACGTGTTGAGGAAAACCAGGGCAAGTGTCTGCTGGGAGTTAGGGAGCAGGAGAGGTGGATCCTGCTGTGATGGAGGAGCAGGATCTTGGAGTAGTGAGATGTTGATCTCTGTATAATCTTCACATCACTGCAAATTCCTCTGACAGAGCCTTAGCTGTCTAACTTTGTCTTCTTGTTTCTTCCCATCAGGTCTTCAAGAACCTCAGCTCTTTAACAATGAGACTCCATGTTTTCCTCACTGCTCTTTTTGCCATCTTCCAGGTACTACCCGGTAAATACCAACACCATGGCCCTTTCTTATTATCATTATTTAGTTTTTTCCTCTCCCTAAATCAACAGTTGGAAGGTTAAGGATTAGGGGGGCTACTCAGAGGTCATCACTATACCTCAAAATAACTTACTAAAAAGGTGAAAGAAATTCCTCTGTAACTGGCTGCTGTGTCTTCATGATGTCAAAAGTCCTGTTAGGTCACTATCTTCGACTCTTCCGCTTTCCCCCAATGAATTGGATGATGTGAGGACCAAATCTATTGACTCACATGATCAGTATAAACTGGGGTAGAGATAAAGATTCTTTTATTTGCCCTGACCAGAGACCTGGTGCCACTCATCACAGTGGTGGCTTGAGTTTGCCCGGACAGGGCTTCCATCTTAAGAGACTGTGAGAGTTGGACCAGGTCATGTGGGGTAGGGGAGCAGGGGTGCCTGGAGAGATGGACCAGGCGATAGGTATTGATCGTGCTGCATCCCTGACACATGGACCAACACCTGTTTATTCCCGAGGGAGGAAAGATGATTTGGTCAGTAGTTACATCAACAACAATGGGATCTTATGGGAGATTGAGAGGGTGAAGGGAGGAGAGGCTGAGGGCTTGGAATCAAACCCACTTCATGTTGATGTTTAGCTGGGAAAGGTGGAGATTTCATCCACATGGTGAGCTCTCTTGCTTTCCTCCTCAGACTTTTGGCTTCATACAAACATCTTTCCATTTTTCAGGCATCACTAAGGCACTCCATTTTGAAAGACCCTGCTACCTTAGAGGTGGGATCTGTCTGAAGCGAGGAACACCGAATTGTGAGCCTTTCAGAGGACCCTGCAGAGCTTTCACCGTTTGCTGTAAAATAAGGAGAAGCTGATGGAGAAGCCTGGCAAGGAACATAGGCGCAGGATCTGAAGCGTGGCTCCTTTAGTCCAAATGAGAGCAAACATTACTCAAGTCCACATAACTGATTATTGTCATTAGGACTGATTAAAGAAAGAGATGTTTCCCATGAAGGGGTAAGCATTAGGTAGGAGAAAATTATAATTAAACTTGTATTATGTTTTAACGTTTGCAAAGCATTTTATTAACATAACATATTTAACCCTTAAACCCGTTTTGGTTTATGAACTCCATTTTGCACATGTAGAAACCAAAACTCAGCTAGGTTAAATAACTTGCCCAAGATCACACAGTCTAAGACTTTTCTTTTCAGTGGTTTGGCAACACTTTATCTGCATGGAAGGGAGAGTGGATATGAACAAATTTACTACAGTTTGGGGAGGAGATGTGAGGACAGAGCTGGGCTTGGGACCCCCTGCAGTGGGTGTTGTGCTGAGTAGGAGGAACCTACTGAGGGTCCACAGTGCTGGGAACATTGCTGTGTTGGGATGTACAGGTGGAAGGCACACCTCTCCAGAGAGACCACTCAAAGTAGCCAGTCCCACATTCAGATGTAGGCAGAAGTCTGTTGAGAGGTAGGAATTCCAGTTGCAGGTCAGAGGCTTCTGTTGTGAGGCTGGAGTCCTGGGGTAGTTGTGATTATTGTGTGTCTTCCTTGGCTACTTTTCTTGTCCAGATCTTGGCATCAGCTGTGGTGTCCTGAGCAAGTCTTCCCTCAACTATGAGCATCTGTTTCCTGCTCTGGTGAGGGAGTTAGCTTAGAGATGACCATTGCTTTCTATAATTTACAATGCAAGTTTGGGGTGGGAGGATGGAGACAGAAACTACTGCAAGGTGCCTGGGAAGGTAGGACAAAAAGAAAGATGAGATACACTAACATGCAGCAAAAACCTAAACAATCATATGGAAAAGAAGAGTTTGACTGACATTGTGATGACTAACAAACAGAACCATTGGTCAGGTCTCAATCAATGAGCAACTACAGAAAGTTCAGCACAGGTTTGCAAATGAACAATGAGTAGGGTATCCAAGTAAAGAACAAACATTAACTTCTCAATTGTTTTTCATTGGCAACTGGCTTCCTATACAGTGTCTACAGGGATTATACAGGATTTTGAATATTTTGGTGCCCTATGAACTTGGTTCACAGTGTGCTGTCAGAACGGTTAATCCGTCATCAGGAATGGTCGACTATTACCACAAGAGTTTAGAATCAGTTAGTAATTTAGAAATCAACTCAGTCTCTTACTTATATTTCTTACTATGAATGAAACCTTTTTTGTTCTTCCATATATTTTTCCAGTATTCACAGATTCACCATCATCTCTCCCAAATTTTTTTAAAAATCCCAGCTCTAGCCTCTGTTTCTATTACCTTTTCTTGCTTCCTTTTCTTCTTGATTCAAGCACATAGGATTGGTCCAGTGGTAGTAGAACAAACCTCAGGGAGGAGAGGAGGGAAAGGAAACACCCTATGGGAAAAAACCTAGTGGTATACAACTGGGTTGTGGATGAAGAAAGGAGGAGAGCCTGGGAACACCCAAATATAAATGTATATATGCGTATTGTCAAATTTGTAATAATGTCATGGTCATCAGGTAGAGTGAGGTAGATCTGATTTGCTCCCCATATTGCCTGACTACTCAGAGAAATTGATGATTATGTTAACTCATTCATTGATTTGTCCACAAACATTTACCTAGCATTGAACAAAGCAATAAAAATTCCTACCTTCATGGTATTTATATTATAATACAGAGATAGAAAATAAACACTAGAAACAAGTGATATATTTAATACATTATGTGTAAAATTGAGAAAAACATTTCAAAGAAAAAGGATGTAAAGTATGGAGAGTATATGACAAGATGTCCAGGTAGGACCTCATAGAGCAACACATAGTGATAAAGATGAGTTTTCAATACTCAACTCTGTTTTGTGTGGGTTTTACTTAGGTGGTTGTTCTGAATCTGAGGCTATGTCATTCTTGGGGCATCCCCAGGGATTATGGGTCCCTAAAATATATAGCCAGATTTTGGAACATATTGATCTGAGGTTTCTGCCCCATGCCTGTTGGCCCTATGGCTTTCATTAGGTAACCCTGTTTTTCCTATCTTTTATTTTATGTATTTCACAGTATTTGTTAATTGACAAGTGAAAAATTGTTTGTATTTATGGTGTACAAGATAGTACTCTCTAAATGGAATAGTCGTCAATCTCAGGGACCACCTTTTCAGGAAAACCAGTGGCTCGCATATATAACCTCAGCACTTCGAGGCCCAAGACAGGTGAATTGCTTGAACCCAAGGGTTTGAGCCCAGCCTGGGCAATATAGCAAGTATCTATCTCCACAAAACTTTTAAAAATTTTAAAAATTAGCCGGGCCTTGTGGAACTGCACCTGTCATCCCAGCTATTCGAGAGTGTGAGTGGAGACCTACTGGACTGCATTCCCAGGAGGTTAAGGCATTCTTAGTCACAGGATGAAGTAGGATAATGGCACAAGGTAAGGTCATAAAGAACTTGCTGATAAAACAGGTTGCAGTAAAGAAGCCGGCTAAAACCCACCAAAACCAAGATGACCATGGAGAGTGACCTCTGGTGGTCCTCACTGCTACACTCCACCAGCACCATGACAGTTTACAAATGCCATGGCAACCTCAGGAAGTTACCCTATTTGGCCTACAAAGGGCAGCGGAATAACTACCTCTTGTTTAGCATATAATCAAGAAATAACCATAACAACTAGCCCTGAGGCTGCTCTGTCTATGGAGTAGCCATTCCTTTATTTCTTTATTTTCCTAATAAACTTGCTTTCACTTTACTCTGGGGACTCACCCTGAATTCTTTCTTGCGCGAAATCCAAGAATCCTCTCTTGAGGTTTGGATCCAGACCCCTTTCCGGTGACATACTGAATTCAGAAGTAATTAGGCTTCCCTATTATTTCAAGCTGGCTTCTTTCCCAAAACTTTGTAAGTAACTACATCCCATACATGTTCTGGAACGCATGCATGAAGTCATTGTGCAACCCTTGCTGACATCAGGGCACCAAAATGTCTACAAATATATTATCATGACCTACGTGGCTAATATGTCCAAATTACCCTTAAGCTCTACCTTAAGTTCCATAAATACCCCTAAGGAGAATCCACTGCAGTACGCTCAGTCCTTTCTCGCTGAAGCGCCCTGCTGCACTCGGCTGCAGCGTTCTTTCTATCTAATACACTTTCATTTTCAAACCTAGTCTGATGATGTCAACCTTGATCCTCTGGCTAAGGTAGTGTTTCTCCTCCAGGGAAGTTCCTTGCTCCACGCTGTACTCTTGGAAGCAAGTCCCTAAGCTCAGGCCATGCTTAAGGTGTGGGAATTAGACTCCCACTTCCTCGAAGTGGTGTATCTACCTAAGTTACTTGCAATGTTTCTGTATGGGAAATTGTCTCTTCTCCTCATTTATTTATTGAATAACTTATTTATATCCGATATAAACATGGATATTAATTTTATACTTCAGGTAATAATCCAAGACTATGACACTTTTTTTCCTGTTGCTCAAATATTCCAGCTTTGGCCATCAGGAGCTCTTCTGTTGACCTTTGTGTGACTTTGACCTACTACCCCAACATTTTGTTTTAAGCACTTTGCTAGTTTTTGGAATCCCAGAAAAATGCTTTCACCAAAATGCTAATCTCTTGGTTAATGTGGTGTGTGCTAGGATTTTTCTTTACATAGCTATTGTTTCTCTTGGAACGTACTAAATAACTTGGGGGAGATACTTTGCAATTATGCAAATATCTGATTTCTGCTTAAATTTCACTCTTTAATGATGGATCTTGCCTGTAGTAATTATTAGTGTGGTCTTTTACTGTTAATTTCTATTTCCTCATCACCCCTTCCTTTATTAACCGTTCATTAATGAAGAGTTGTCCCTTATTGATTTGGTTATTTGTTCATCTCAAATATGACTCATGGGTATTTATTTTATACTTTGGGTTATAATCCAACTGTATTTTTTGATTAGGTTGGTTCAAGTTTGACCATTGGGAGCTCTTACAGGTTTCTTTTGCCTTTACACACTCTTTTTTTTTTTTTTTTTTTGAGCATTGCCTTACTTTCTGACACTACAAGATGTTCCAGGTTTATCTTATATTTCTCTGCCCCCGTACTGGAATGAGTTGGTTCTTAAGGATTCTGGGTCCGGTTTACTGAAACATAGTACTTAGAATCAAGACCTGAGCACCAGGTATACTCATTGCTACTGAGGTGTCACTGTTTCTTGTTTCTTAAGAGGTTAGAATTAGGAAACATACATGTGAATATTAATTTATCTACTCACATGCATGTGTGTGTGTGTATATATATATATATATCTGTGTATACATTTAAAAAAATTCCTTGCTCCACATTAATATCTTCAACTGCAACCCAAAATCACAGTATTAGTTCTGCCTTTCCCATTCCTTATTTATAACCCTTTTTCTCCAATAGTGAGAAACCTGCCTGTTATTATTTATAATATATTTTCTTAGTTGCTTAACATTAGGATACACATTGTTTTAAAATTGGTAACACAACTGCTGTGAGAAACAAATCTAACAATTGGAATGCAGTGCAGATTAAAGACAATATAAGGCCTTTTCATCTTTGTAGTACTCAATCAAAACAGTCTTTCAAAGTTACTTAAGTCAATTCCTTTCTTCTTCTTCCAGTTTAGTGTGTATATTAGTCTGTTTTCACACTCAGGTATGAAGAATACCTAAGACTGGGTGATTTATAAAGGAAAGAGGTTTAATTGACTCATGGTTCCGTGTGGCTGGGAAGGCCTCAGGAAACTTACAATCATGGCAGAAGGCAAAGGGGAAGCTGGCACCTTCTTCACAAGGTGTCAGGAAGGAGAAGTGCCAAGGGAGGAAGAGCCCCCTTATAAAACCATCAGCTTTTTGTGACAATTCACTCATTATCATGAGAACAGCATGGGGGAAACTACTCCCGTGATTCTATTACATCCACATATTTGGGTACATCGGGATTATGGGAATTATAATTCAAGGTGAGATTTGGGTGGGGACACAAAGCCTAACCATATCAGTGTGGTCATATGATTAATTTTTTTAAATACGGTTATATTTGTTTGTCACAATCTGCTTTCCATTTTTCTTCCCATTAGGTTACTTTATATATAGTAAAATTCAAAGTTTGTGGTGTTAAGTTCTGAGGGATTTGCATATGCAGAGCTCTGTGTTCATTGCCACACTTCTGTATGGAACGTTGCTTTCACTTCCAGTTTCTCTGTATTGGTCTGTTTTCACACTGTTGATACAGACATACCCAAGACTGGGCAATTTCAAAAGAGACATTTGTTGGATTTACAGTTCCATGTGGCTGGAGAGGCCTCACAATCATGGCAGAAGGTGAAAGGCATGTCTTACATGGTAGCAGACAAGAGAAGAGAGCTTGTGTAGGGAAACTCCCCTTTTTAAAGCCATCAGATCTCATGAAACTTATTCACTATCAGGAGAACAGCACAAGAAAGACCTGCCCCATGATTCAATTACCTCCCACTGGGTCCCTCCCACAACACATGGGAATTCAAGATGATATTTGGGTGGGGACACAGCCAAACCATATCACCCTTTATAGACAAACCCTTCCTATGACACTGAAACCACGACAGCCACTGATCTGGTTTCAGAGCCTACAGTTTTGAATTTAGCATCATAGAAATAGGGTCATGCAATCTGTAGCCTTTATGTCTGGCTTCCTTAATTCAGCAACAGGCCTTTAACATTCATCCATGTTATTTATGCATAAATGATTTATTATTTTTTGTTGCTGCATAGTCTTTCATTACAGGATGTACTAAAGTCAATTCACTAGTCAAGAGACAGCTGTGTCGCTTACAATTTGAGGCAATTATTGATAGAACTGCTATAAACATTTGCATACATGTTTTCAGTTTGAACATACATTTTCATTCCTCTATGATAAATACCCTTGTGAGGGATTGTTGAGTCATTAGGTAAGTGTATATTTTACTTTACAAGGAACTGCCAAACTGTCTTCCAGAGTAGCCATACTATTTTGCATTCCCATCAGTGGTGATTGAGAGCTCAGTTTGGTACAATAAAGGAAGCTGCTAAGAGAAAAGATTATTAAGAAATTGCTTTTGGACTGTTTCAAACTGGGAGAAATTAAGTTACTGCTGAATGTTGGACTTTCCAGTCTAATCAGCAGTCTTCTGCTGTAAAATTTGATCTTATCTATGCTGAAACAATTCCTTGGGTTCTAAGAAAATGGTCCTAAAGAAATCTTGATATTTGGAAAGGTGCCTTTGGACAGAAGAAAATAATCACTGCCTCTCTAAATCTTGATCCTCTGTAAATCAATGAGTTGATTTCAGTAATGTCTGAGTTCTGATTCTATGTGTTAATGCCTAAGTGCCAAGTTAAATATTTCTGTAGAAGGCCAACTTATTTTCCTAACTGTTTAATAATCAACCTGGATCCATCACTTGATGCCCAAGAGTCGTTAAGGGTCAAGGATACAGCAAGTGAGAACAACATCTCTGTGAGAGCTGAGTGTGGTAGCTCACTCTGGTAATCCCAGCACTTTGGATGGGAGAAGCCCTTGAAGTCAGTCTGGCAACACAGCGAGATCCTGTCTCTACAAAGAAATTTTTATTAGCCAGGCATGGTGGCGCATGACTGTTGCCCCAGCTCCTAGGGAGGTTGAGGTGGGAGAATCGCTTGAGCCCAGTAGTCTGAGGTTGCAATGAGCCATGATCGTGCCACTGCACTCCAGCCTGGGAGACAAAGTGAGACCCTGTCTTCAAAATGAAAACAAAAATAAAACCTCTGTGACTTTTTACCTTATAGCCAACACACACACACACACACACACACACACACACACCCACCCTTCCTTCATCCAAAATTCCATAGATTCACAGACATATGAACAGCGTACAGGTGTCTTAGAGAATACCCATGTCAGTGGTTAGAGGGAAAGAAACTGAAATCTGGGAAAAGAAAGGTCTTATCCAAAATCAATCAGGGAGTTAGTGGTGTGACCAAATCCAGATTTTACATTATCCTGCCTCTGGTTCAATGGCCTAAAAGTTAAGCTTGTTATCAGAAAGAGGGTCCACATGGGTGGTGATGCCTTTATTAAGCAGAAGTCAGGGGCTGTGGTTCTCTTGGGCTACCCTGAGGCCCCTCCAGCTGTTGCAGCTACAACCTACAGCAGTGTTTGTACCGGCTTTTGCACTGTGCAGGCAGGATAGAGCAACCGTGGGTTTTTTGGTGCCTGCAGACACCACCCATGTGTTCACATTCATGGAATCTATCCTTTCTCTCATATCCTATAAGGGAAGAAGGGGAAAGAAACAAAAAAGTGAAATTATGTTTTAAAAACGTTACTAGAATTCATCTTGTTTAGCACATGATAGTCCACAGGGCAAAACTGACTCTGCTTCTGTTGGTATGACGTGTGAACTTAGGACAGTTTTTAGATCTCTAAATTATTTTTAAAAATTCAAAACCAAATTTTTGGTGATACATAAAATTATATGAAACTCAAATTTCAGTGTCCATAAGTAAAGTTCTAGGTGACGACAGCCATGCTCACTTATTTACACATTATCTATGGCTGCTTTCACTGTATACAGGCAGAGATGAGTTGTTATGACAGAGATCACATGGTCCATAAAGCCCAAAGAATTCATTACCTAGTCCTTTACAGGAAAAGCTCACTAACTGCTATAGTAGTCTCTTCTGACTGTGCCACAAGGCTAGAAATATAAAATTCACTTCGCTCCACATGCTCTCCATAAAAGCTTTCTAAAGTGCCTGCCTTCTTCTTGACATGGCAAAACTTACAAGTATTGAGTGCAAATTAGTCAATAAGTATTTAATGAAGAGATAACTAGATTGATGTCCTGAGTATTCTGATTCCTGAATGCGGTGCCTTCCATATTCTGTGAAGTGTGAGTTCTTTCATAGTTTGTGATCCTTTCAATGCCAAACCAAGACATGGAGTAGGCACCTGCCTTCCTGTGCTCAGTGAGCTAGGTTGGAAAGAGAATGACATAACATCCAGGAGGTTGAGCTTAGTCCTACAGAGAGCAGGTCTAGAGAGCCAGAGAGAGAATGACCAACAACCACAAGAAAACAGTGAGTATGAAGTGTTTCCGTTAGAGTTTACGTCTCTTAAAGGCATGGCATTGTGATGGAAAGCATACTCAACTAGGATTAGGAATCTTGGTTTCTAATTCCTGATCCATCCACCACAACTATAGTTATTGGCAGCCAGGTTTTGCTATGTGAGTCACAGACGCTCCTAATCTCTCATAAGAAGAGAAGGATACATGTATAGATACAGGTATATATTCATATCTGAATCTACATCCATATCTATAGCTATGTATCTGTCTATCATCTATGTAATCTATCCTTTATCATCTATATTCTATTAACCATCTGTCTGTCTATCTATCTATCTATCTATCTATCTATCTATCTATCTAATTATCTATCTATGTCATCTATCATCAATCATCTATCTATCACAATCAGGCTGTTAGGCTATTTCCCAAATAGATCTGGCTATTTTCCTGACACAATGTAGGATTGCCTCCCTACCTTTGAGACTTACTTGGGTAACAAATTTTGAGCAGAAGTGATGTGTCCTTTCAGGGCTGAAGCCCTTACCTGCAAGTGTAAGAACCTCAGAGCTCTTTCCTTTACAGTGGCCAACAGTAGTCAAGGTGGTGGCTGCTCCACCAGGGGGAGCTGAGCAACTACAGTGAGCAGTGCAGCCCTGTGGCCATGATGCATTTGTACCAGAAGTGGGAATTAAATCTTTGCTCTTTTAGGAAACCAAGATTTGAACGTTGTTTTCACCACATCGTTACCTGGCCCATGCTAACATATGCAGAAGATTGCCAGGAAAATGTGAGACCTCTAGTTAAATTCGAATATCAGATAAACAATGAATAATCTTGTAGTATAAGCTTGTCCCAAGTGTTGCATGGGACATACCCATATTTAAAACTGTTCGTTTTTGTATATAATTTAATAAGTAAATCTATTTTCAGGTACTGTTGAGTATTTGGTAAGAGGGTAATCTTGGGAATCAAACCAACTTAAGCTTGAATCTAGGCTTCACCATATACAATCCTTGTGACTTTGGACAAAGGATGCCATTTTTTTAGACTCATAAGACAGGGCTAAAAAATACCTGCCCCAGAAATATTGTTAAGAGGAGTACGTGGGAGATAATATGTGAAAACACAACACATCTTTGCTGTGATGTCTGGTAAAGAGAAAGTGGTCAGCATTATTTGTTGTTAGTATTAGTGTTGTTGTTGTCATTGTTTTGATTCACATGGAAATGGTTTGTAAGCTGTGATGCCTACTATTAATGTTATCTATCACAATTGTTAGTTAAGTCTGGTATCTATTGCAACAACTAGATTAAGGTAATCTTGGGAAAAAATTTTAAATTTCTTTAAGCTTCTCTCTCCTGATTTGTAAAATGAAATTTGTTGTACATGCTGTGCTTTTTCTCAGCTATGCGGCTGTTCAGTTACTCCATATTTCAGTGCATCGTTGGCTGATGAATTAATTTGGCCCATGTCAGCTCCAAGGGCATCCACCTTATCATCCTCCAGGTGGACTCATAGCTTACCTGAGGCTGTTTGTATTAGACATCCAAGAAGGAGAAACAGAAGGAACAGCAGTCTCATGATGGGAAATGAGTGGTCACGATTATACGATGATCTCACAGCCCGAAGGTAGCTCTTTCTCCAGTGTACATTAATTGACGAGGACAAGTGATCTGGGAATGAGTTTGAATTCAGTTGGGAAACTAACACAGGAATAGAAAACCAAATATTGCATGTTCTCACTTATAAATGAGAGCTAAGCATTGAGCAGACATGGACAAATATGGGAATTATAGACACTGTGAACTACTAGAGGGTGGAAGGAGGAGTTGGGTTAAAAAATTACCTCTCTGGTATTATGTTCACTACCAGGGTAATGAGATCCATACTCCAAAGCACAGCATAATGCAATATTGCCATGTAACAAATCTGTGCATGTACCTACTGTACCTAAAACAAATTGAAATTTTAAAAAATGAACATACAGCAAATAAATGGGCCTTTTTTGAAATATTTTTGGGTAACTAATACTTAAATCCAAGAAGCAGCATTTTATTGCACTTTTGTTTCATTTTAGCCAATTTCTGCATGTGGGTGGCTAAGCACACCACAAGGGCGTGATGCAAAAATGACAAAAGAGATATGCTGAGCTACCTGCAAATGCCTTTCAGAAATAAAATAAAGCATCCCTTAGTGATGATGCTTCTTCTCAAGAGCAAATGAATCCACTTAAAGTAAATCACTGTAAAATTTAAAAAGAAGAAGAAGAAGAAAGAAGAAGAAGAAGAACAACAACAACAACAACAACAGTTCAACCAGAGAGAAAAAGCTTGCATTCCTGATTCAAATGTTCAAATTACGCATGGGTGTAACCTTAGAATGTTCCATCTATGAACTCGTGATTTCAGATCCAGGTCTCCTGTTCAAATAGAAGGGCTTCCGAGTAATTTTGCATTTTCTGGTGGATTTTCATTTCTGCTTATGGTTCTGAGGTTTGGTGCCTTTTTTCCCTCAGAATAAATTATTATACAATAGTGATTTTGAGTATCCATCCATTTATTCATCTAGCCGCATTCTTTTCATATCCCTGCATCTGTCAGCTTTCCCTTTGGAAATGCAAAGAAAACCACCCTTTAAAAAAATTGTGTTTTTTCCATTCTATAAAAAAGTTTATTTTTAATGCCAGACCATGTAAGGGCAGCTATTTTAAAATAGCATTTCGATTAAAATTGAATTTTGAGTTAATGCACGATTACTTTCTGTCAACTGCCTGTTTCCACACATCTATGGATTAAATAAACTATATTTAATACCATTGGCATTACATTATTTCAAGATCTGAAAGTGCTTCATGAATCATTAAGGAGAGGTTAAATTCTGTTTACAAATTTCAATAGCTTTTGGGGTACAGGAAGTTTTTTGTTACATGGATGGGATTATATAGTGGTGAATTCTGATATTTTAGTACACCGGTCACCTGAGTAGAGTACATTTTACCTAATGTGTAGTTTTGTATCCCTAGCCCTGCCTACCATCTGAGTCTCTAAAATCTATCATATCACTCTGCATGCCTTTTTGTATTCATAGTTTAGCTCCCACTTATAAATGAGAACATATAGTTTTTTGGAAAACCACCCATTTTAGAAGCTAAAAAAGGAGAAGAAATTCTGTAAATGGAAATTACCTTTTTTCCTTTGTCGAGTTCAATTTTTGATTTTTTTGTTGTTGTTGTTACCCAGTTAAAAGAGATAATTCTAGGCAGACTCTTACCGTGTCAAAGTCTTGCATAGATTACAACTAGGTGACCTATTAGCGGCCAAAGGATTTCTTAATCCATGTAGTACAATGCATTCTTATGGTAAAGGAATTAAACAGCAGAAAGTATACAAGGTAAAGCACTGAAATTCTTCCTTGTCTCTTTCCCCTCCACATCTGTGTTGCTTTATATTATTTCTACATCTCTCTCCTTCTCCACACTGTGAGTTTCTAAAGTAACAGGCACTGTCTGATTACCTTCCTTCCTCAGCCCCTGAGCAGTACCTAGCAGAGAGAAGGTTCTCACGTATTTGTTTAAACAAATGAGACTTGAGTGAAAGAATCAATACATAGATGAATACATTGATAGAGGGAGGAAGGAGGTAAGGAAATGCTGCGGCCTAAATGTTTGAATGTTTGTGTCTCCCCATTCATCTGTTGAAATGCCAACCCCCAAGGTGGCGATATTAGGAGGTACGGGCTTTGCGGAGGTGATTAAGTCATGAAGCCAAAGCCCTTCTGATGGAATTGCTGCCCTTATAAAAAGAGGCCTGAAGGAGCTCGTTTGTACTTTTCACCGTGTGACAACACAGAGAAGGAAGCGGGCTCTCTCCAGACACCAGTGATGGTGTTCGATCTTGGACTTCCAGCCTCCAGAACTGTGAGAAGTAAACTTCTGTTCTTTATAAGCCACCCTGTTTATATTACTTTTCAATAGCATCCCAAATGGACTAAGGCAGAAAGGAAGGAAGAAAACAAGAAAGGAAAGCAGGGAGGAAACTCAGGGATACATACCTTTTGACGTCTCTAACAGTGGTTACCCTTCATTAATAATCAGTATGTGTTGAGAAGCCAAAAGACAGATTGTTGCTGAGACGTAGACATCAGAGAAATCAGCCAAGCTATGATGTAAGCTGTGGTCTTTGTGGAAATAGAGATTTTTTTTTTGTACCTAAGAGCAAAAGAGCTCTAAAACCAGATAACCCTTGTTTCAAAGTTTTGCTCTGTCATTCATTAACTGAGTGATCTTGTGCAAATAACTCAACCTTTCAAAGCTCCAGTGTCTCCTGTTTATTTGGTGATGGCTATAGTGCCAACCTCCTAGTCTTTATCTCAGAAAAAAAAAAAAAATCTTAGGGGGAGTCAATTGCTACCAAATACCTGTCCACACAGAAAGTTGTGTTTTATCTAGGATCACCACAAGAGTTTCAACCCCATCAAAAAGTGGGTGAAGGATATGAACAGACATTTCTCAAAAGAAGGCATTTATGCAGCCAAAAAACATCTGAAAAAAGCTCACCATCACTTGTCATTAGAGAAATGTAAATCAACCTAAACTGTAAGAAGAACTTTTAAGTCAACTTCTGGATACCTGAAATCATACAAGATACTACTTTCCTCCATAAGGCCTGGAATGTCTCCAAAAAAAATCCCTAAAATTTAAAACTTAATGAGGACAACTTTGCCTTTTAGGGTCCATAGAATTAGAGGCTGGTAGGGAAACTTTGGCCGTTTTTGGTGTGGGAGAAAGATGGTCTTAGATAAGACCTAAAATTGTAGGAACATACTGAATTTCACTTATTAAATGTTAGCATAACTTAAGTTTACAGAATTTAATAAAATAATGCTGAAACTCCTCTGTTACTCCAGTAAGAATGAACATTCTTGAACACCTATCACGTACCATGAATCTTGAAAGTGGTATCTTAGTTGACGTAACTTTTATAAGGGATAGGCATTTTCTCTGAGCAAGTCAGTGTAGGTTATACAAATAGTGATTGAGGTGGGATTTGAACTCTATCCACAATCAAAACTTTTGCTTAATTTACAGTCTTTCTTGCTAAGAAAGAAAGATAATGTTTTTTGAATAAAGGAACACATCTCTGGTGAGATAAACCAGCTCTGTGTGTTTGACAGCAAAAGAGCTACAGGTTTAGAGAATGAACAGGGTCGTGCATAAAAGGTTGTCTGACTTGCACTTTCCTAACAAAGGGGAAACTCTGCATCAGGTGGAGCATGGTGGGTCAAGTGGGTAAAGGCTAGCGCTCCCTAAGCAAGCTCACCAAATAATTTATAACCCAAACAGAAATACTTTTTAGGGGCCTATTATTGATGGTTATGCTTGAACAACAGACATAAACTGGGACTGCCTCCCAGACAATCTGGATATATCGCTACCCTGTCCCTAAGGAAACTCCTTTGTTGGTAACCACAAATTTCTCTGCTGCAGGCTTAGTTAAAGCCTTGGAGTTGATCACTGTCTCTCCATTGTCCTCCCCGTCACCACCCTGGAAATTGTCAACAACACATTGACCAATCATAGGGGTCTCCTAGGACACAGAGATCATTGATGGCATAGGTTTATCTTTCTAGCTCATTCCAGTTTTGTCTCTCAGCCAAAGATTATGGTAGGAAAAGACTTGAGAAAGAGTACCACCTTCTTCCACTGGGAAATCGTTCAGCAACTCAATTAGTATGCATTTCTGATTTTATGCTAAGGTGAACACACTTTTACTTCTAACTACATACCATCCGCAATCGCATCCTAAAAGAGATAGCATTGTCACGGTAAGCATTCTTCCGGGAGGAGATGCTGAGTGGGTTTTCCTGCTTACCCATTCTTGGGGGGTGTACAAATTCATCCGTCATCTCTTGGAAAATCCTCATCACACAAGGATAATGTCAAATTATTTTTGGAACAAGGTAAGGGTATCAGTGAACAATTTCTTTAATATTGTAGCCCATGTATCACCTCCTGGGTTGGAAGGGGGTCTGGTGAGGATGCTCTAATCTGCCTATCCTCAGTCTCTCTGGGCACAAGCAGCCTCCTCCAGCCCCCTCCTCAGCCTGCCATCGATCAAGTCTTCATTCTTGCTCCTCATTTACCTCTGTCCTTAGACAACTGCATGAAACTCTTAGTAAATGAACTAAGTATGTTTCTTACATTTTCCCTTGGTCCAGGGGAAAGGTAGAAATTAAATGTTTCCACTTTGAAATTTTCAATCAGTATTTGAACCTTTACCACATAGAGATCTATTTTTGTTTAGTGATCCTGACCTGGAATAAAAGTAATGTTTCTGGTAAAATATTTTAAATAAATCACACAATTTAACACAGAGGCTGTGAGGATTTTGCCCCCTTGGCCTCAACAATAGGACTTTTGTGATAGTAATAATGATGATGATGATGAAAATGTCTTAGTCCTTTGTGATACTATAACAAACTACCTTAGAATGAGTCATTTATAAACAATAGAAATGCGTCACTCACAGAGGCTGGGAAGTCCCAGATCAAGACCCTGGCAGATTTGGTGTCTGGTGAGAGCCCATTCCTTATAGAGGGTGGCTTCTAACTGGACCCTCACAAGGTAGAAAGGGAAAGGGAGCTCTCTAGGACCTCTTTTACAAGGGTCTTAACTATTTGTGAAGGCTCTGGCCTCATGAACTAATCCCTTCCCAAAGGTTCCGCTTCTTAATATTATCGTATTGGGGATTAGATTTCAGCATGAATTTTGGGGGAGAGACACAAACACTCAAACCACGGCAAATAATGATAGTGATGATAATACTGATAATAATAATAATGCCACTAGAAAGTAAAGTGGAGGCTGAAAGCTGTTGTCTACATTCCTGTCTCCTACACTTGCACCCTGAAAGCAATCCTCTTTATTGCCTCCCACTCCTCTTTAACCCAAGTTGGTCCTACTGGAAACCCACCTTGCAGTTGGTTCCTCCACCCTCCACAGGCTGTGTGCTGTATGTCCCTTTGGGCAAGGACACCTGAGAGCAGCTTCCAGTGACCACATAATTAGGGGTCAGATCAATGGGCAGAGGCAGGGCTGAGTTAGGTCTTGCAGAAGGCATTATGACCCTAGTGACAGAAGTCAGGTTTGAGTGGCAGTGAGGGAAAGAAGTGTGGTAGGATGTGGGGACTGTGTAGGCACCCCTTTCATAGGGTTTCCCTTAAAAGCTGGGCAAACACAAAAGATGACAGCTCTTGTGTATCCAAGAAGTGTTTTTCTTTTAGTTCGTATAGATGCAGTAGAGGGGAATAAGAGATAGAGCAGGTGAGAGAAAGAATTGCTGGAGTCCTGATATGGTTTGGCTTGGTGTCTCCACCCAAATCTCATCTCCAATTGTAATTCCCGTATGTCAAGGGAGGGATCTGGTGGGAGGTGATTAGATCATGGAGGCAGTTTCTCCCATGCTGTTCTTGTGATAGTGAGTGAGTTCTCATGAAATCTGATGGTTTAAAAATGGTGCTTCCCTCTTCTCTGTCTCTCCTATGAGCCTTGGTCGTTTCTATGAAAAAAACATATTAAGTTCAGTAACTTGTTGTGAGATTTTCATCATTTTTTTTCTCCATTAAACAAACGTAGGCTTAGGTCTTTTGTGTTACTAATTTTTGCTCAATTCATGATGTGAAACCAAGATATAGTCGACCCTCTGTGTTGACGGGTTCAACATCTGAAAATATTCAGGAAAAAAAATGTGTCTGATATGAACATGTATAGGCTTTTTTTGGTCATTATTCCCTAAACAATATAAGACAACACCCATTTACTTAGCATTTACATTGAGTTAGGTATTACAGGTAATCTAGAGATGATTTAAAGTATATAGCAGGAAATGCAAAGGTTATATGATAATACCATGCCATTTTACATCAATCACTTCAGCATCTGAGGAATTTCATATCCACAGAGGGCCTGAAACCAATCCCTCACGGGATACCAAGGGTCAAGTGTATTTGTTAATTACTGCTGAAGTAGCAAATTGTCATTAACTTTAGTGGCTTTAAACAACACTAATTAATTATCTTACACTTTGGGGGAATAAAATATCCAAAATCAAGGTGTCAGCGGGACTGTGTTCCTTTCTAGAGTCTCTAAGTGAGAATCTTTGTTTGCTGTTTTGTTTTGTTTTGTTTTGCATTTTCAAGCTTTAGAAGCTGCCCAGCTTCCTTGGCTTGTGGCTTCTTCATCTCAAAGCCTGCAATGCCTGTCAAGTCATTCTCACATCACATCATGAAGACACTGACTGTTCTGTCTCTCTTTCCAAATTTAATGATCCTTTTGATTACACTGGTCTCATTTACCTAATCTAAGATAACCTCCCTATTTGAAAGTCAGCTGATTAGCAACCTTAATTCTATATGCTAACATTAATTCTCATCTGCTATGTAAAGAAGCATACTCATAGGTTCTAGGAATTAGGATGTGGACATCTTTGGGAGGCCATTATTATGCCTACTACATCTAGTAAAATAAAACTCAGTGGTGTAGCAAATAAATACTTTGGCCACAAAAATTGTCTTTAAGGGAGAAAAATGTCTGTGAATAACTTTTCAGTATATGGACATTGCAAATATCATGGGATATGTAATGTAAACTCTACTTAAACTTCCAGGCACCAGAAGAGCAACAAATTCACTCAAACTAAAAATGTCACACGTTATAAAAATTAAATGATTAAATAAATATACTATTAGACAGGCCTGGGATCAAGGTGAGGTGGGTAAGTTTGAGCTGGGCAATAGCAGGATTAGATTCTGTCCTTATTTAAAACTGGAATATTTTGTTGATCATGGGTTACTTTTGAATCAATTATTTTTTACAAAAAAAAAATACATGCATTATAAGATCATCTATCTTGAGTGCAGAAGTTTTTGATCCCCAAATTTTGCACCTGCATCTGGTGCCTCCCTTGCCTCTTGGCCCTGTTAAAGGATCTAGACAAAATCTCTAGGTCTGATTTTTTTTTCCAATCTTGATACTCTAGGAAATCCAACAGATTATTTTAGATGAAAATGCATTTAGCCAGAGGTTGACGGTATGCACATGAAGTGAAGAGTTAATATCAAGAAGCAGAGAGCTTCATAGACATGTAGGGTATACCTGCAGAGATCATGATTTAACTATCAAACCCTCCCAACGAGAGAGGGCAGGGCTAGGCAGGTATCTTGATGCTTCCCCTTAGAGTCTATGCTGTCTTTCTTCTTAATGTTTGCTCCCCTCTCGTTGTGTTCTGTGCTATATTGCCCTCATTTAACTGTACCTTCTAAAAGGACCTGTTTTTAAGAGCTTTTACATGAATCGAAATTATGTCTAGATGTGAGGAAATGCTTTGTGCAATTCAATTTTGCCATTAAATGTATAATAATTTATGAAGTAACACCTCTTCCTCAATGACCAGTGCATACATGAATAAGAGAAAGTCCATACCTGCAGAGAGCTCATAGACTAATGGAGAAGTAAAACTGTATCCACATGAGCAGGAGGCACAATTGCATAAGCAGCCTAAATCAGAAGGAGGGAGTGCTTGTGAAGAAGAGGAGGTCAGGGCGTTCCCTCCTTAGAGGATCACCCTGATTCCAGGAGGAAAAAGGTCTTTGAGCTGGGACAATAATGAGTCACAGTCTTCAGGGAAGATATGGGGTAGGTGAGGGCATGCAAGGAGAGGAAGTAGGAGGAGCAAAGCACAGGTTATAGGAAAACAATGGGAATAATTGGGGAAGGTCAAGGGACCTAAAGGGAACAGATGTCAATGAACCTGGAAAGCATCCCAGGTTCTGGGAACTAAGCCTCCCCCAATCACAGCAGTGCCAGTCTCCTTGTCAGAAACGTACGACTCATAATCATTCACTCACAACTCATGATCATGATGGAAAAGCTCAGGCTTGGACAAGAAACTCACCGTGGATTTATTCAAGATGATACTGACACAGACTTTGTGTCTTTCTGACATGGGGTTTGGAATTCTAACATCCTATTGCTCTTGTTGGTTTTGGGTTACTGGAGGAGCAACCCAAAAAATTTCTCCTGTACCATCCCTGACCTCTGGTCTGGGGAGCTGGGAAGGACATTCCAAGGATGTCAGAGATTGGCTTGTCCAAAACCAACATTACACAGTCACAATTACAATTACTAAGACCAAGATTCCACGTCTTTGAACACCGTAGCTTAATTTGGTTTACATGTCGCATGTCTCTGCTGAGGGAGCCCTTTCTGAACCCACATCAACCACAGCAACTTCTTGGACTCCTCATTACTTTTTGCAGCATTTTATTCTGTCATGGCCATAGGTGCCAATCTGTTTCAAGCTTGTAGAGCAAACATTCAGAACACACACACCTTTATTCCTGTGTCAGCTAGCAGGATTTCTTATATCTTTAGAAAAAACCTGAAGAAAGGAAAAAATGAAAAAAGAAAAAAAAAAAAGAAGCAATAAACGATAAGCAAACCAAAGAACAATAGGAGCGATAGGGTGTTGGAATTCAAAATCCCAAGTTAGAAAGGCACAAAGCCTGTGTCAGTATAATCTTGAATCAGTCTGCGGTGAGTTTCTTTTCCAAGTCTGGGCTTTTCCATCATGATCATGAGACATGATCATTATGTGAATGATTATGTGAACCTCAGTTTCTTAAAAGGAGGCTGGCCCTGCTGTGGTTTGGGGATGCTTAGTTCCTGGAACCAGAATGTGAAAGACTGATCTCTGCTAAGTGACCAGGGCCTCCAGATGGGCTCAGGTAGGAGCTCAACAAGGATTTTTTCAGAATTCAGCTCCACCACAAAAAAATAACCTCAAAGCTACCCTACCTCCATTTACACACACAGGCCAGTAACCTCTGTTTTCCAAATCATGAAGTCCATTAAGTATTTGAACTGAGATGGAAGAAAAAGATGTGGCTCAAAGGGTAGAAAATGTTTAATGTGAATTTAATATAAAAGTACCTTAGGACCGGGCCCAGTGGCTCACGCCTCTAATCCCAGTATTTTGGGAGACTCAGCTGGGTGGATCACCTGAGGTCAGGAGTTTGAGACCAGCCTGGCCAACCTGGTGAAACCCTGTCTCTACTAAAAATACAAAAATTAGCTGGGTGTGGCGGTGGGCACCTGTAATCCCAGCTACTCAGGAGGCTGAGGCAGGAGAATCACTTGAACCTGGGAGGTGGAAGTTGCAGTGAGCCAAGATAGCACCATTGCATTCCAGCCTAGGTGACAGACGAGACTCCGTCTCAAAATAAAAAGAAAAAAAAAAAAAAAAAAAAAAAAAGGAGGGACAGGGAGGGGTAGGGGGAGGGAGGAGGCTGGGAATAAAAAAAAAAAGAAAAGAAAAATAAAGTAGCTTACAATTAAAAACAATAATTAACAGTAGAAGTAAACCTTTGTAATGAATTGTTTCTAATCTCTAAATTCTGTTCTCCATCTCACCCTTCCATTTGTCCTCCCTCCTTCCCCTCCTCCCTCCCTCCCTTTTGTCTCTTCCTTCCTACTCTCCTAAATGGTGGAATATCGCCAGTGTCTGGTGCCTCCAGGAACGCTGCTGCTTCTCTATAACCCAAACCCATAAACAATATGGATAAAATGAGGCTTTTCCAATGTAATTTCTATCAGATTTGATATCCCAGGTCTTGGTCTCAAATTATCTTTCTCTCTCCCTCCCTTCCACTCTCCTTTTCTTCCTTCACCCTTTTATTTTATTCTTATAATATCAAGGAGAAAATAAAATTAGGCATTCAATTTTAAAAGTGGCGTTCAATAGGCTTTTTTGTTCTGTGAACCTAGAGCAGCCACAGAGGGTAAGCGTTCTCCAGGGCCTTCCATCTGAAAAGACGAAGGGCCCGTGTCCCAAACACAACTTCCCAAAGTACAGGCTGTGCCTTATCATTCCCTAAAATTCTCTAGGTCACTCAAATCTACACTTTAAATTCAAAAATTTAGAAAATGACA